GAAGAAGAAAATTTTCTCATTCTTAACTCATTTATCTAGTTAATGTGATCGTTATGTCATAAAAAAGTCTGGAAGAGCATTGTACTATTATCATCATTATCATTATCATTACTATTACTATTATTATGATCATTACTATTATCATCATTACTATCATCATCATTATCAGTACTATTATCTAGTACTACTATCATTATCATTATTGTCATCATTATTATCATTACCAAATTATTCAGAATACTTGTGGTAATAAAAAAAATTCTTTTCTAAAAATTCAATGAGTGTGGCAAATAGGTGAGGTTATGTAGGTCTTACAACTGACTCAGTGACAAAGAGCTTTTGACTCCAACTGTGGGTTATTAAAAAGACTTTTCTCTGATAGACAGATTAACTCATACGCACACAAACTACAAGGCCAAACTAACACATATCATATCTAAGGCCTTTATCATACTGACTTATTAACAGAATGATAAAAGATATCAGTGTCAACACAAACTACTTCTATCAACAAACTGATTGGTAATGGCCAGAGCTGCCAAAATTTGTTTTTTGGCATACAATAAATTAATTTTCACTCCAAGTGCTTTGTGCACTTGTGATGTGACATGATCCCCCAAACACTCATCACTCGGGAACAACTTGATGAGATGTTCCCATCACACAACACCAGCTAAATCCCCCAGCTAAATCTCCAAAATGTATTAATTTTAACTGTTTTTATGGTCATTAACTCTTCTCCCACCATTAATCTGCTCATCATCCATTTATTCATCTTCCAAAGAATCATCCTCACATGTCTCTGACTCCTCATATTCATCAGAAGATTCACTGTCATCAATTATTCATCAATTCCAATTGTTCCAGTTCCAAGCTGAACAAAATAGTACCAATAAATGCACAGGACCATGCAGATTGATTGGTTACTGGTAGCTAATAAAATAGTGATTACCATGTCAATACAGGATATCATGATATACAGAAAGTCCCCAAGTTACGAACATAATGAGGACCGAGAGGCTGCTTGTAACTCCATTTGTTTGTATATCCAAAGTTGGGTCTCTACTATCTTTTTTCACATTGTTTTAAAGTTTTGTTTATATTAAGAATACCTGTACATAAATCCCAATAAGTATTTTTGATGGATTGATGCAGAGGTAAAGCAAATTATGGCACAAAAATTGGTGGTACAAGAGGACACAGTGAACAGCTGCTTTCGTGTTTTGGCGGGAGGGCAGGTGACTGAGGCGAGTGATGCACACAGCTGAGTGAGCGCAACAGCCCCACAGCGTGGCAGACTCATGAACTATATTCGCGCCCGGGAAATTTGAAGTTTGCTAGCATCTTTCAAACAATTTTTTTGACTTAAGTATTTTTAAAAATTTGTTCGTATGTATGGAATGTTCATAAGTAGAATGTTCATAAGTAGGGGACTTACTGTATTTGCAAAATGGTCTACCCCTGGTACTACTTATTGTGGGCCATGGATGGTGCAAGATGTACACAATAATACATATTTAAATCCCCAATGTGATGCCCCCCCCCCCATCCTACGCCACCTGTGAGTCCTGTTTTTAGTTTAAAATGGGACTCCTTAGCCATAGCGGAGCAAAATAAGCACAGTTTCATGACACTGACTTGCGTCAAACTGGTGTGATAAAGTGTTGAAGCTTTCGTGCTCATGATTCGTGATTCTTGCTTCAGTGGGGAATGTGTTAAAACCTATCCAATACAGGATAATGTCCTACCACTTCATGGTAGACTACCCCTCACATTAGAATGAAGTAACCAAGTCCTCCATTGGCTGGGGTGACAGGAACTTGCCGTCCTATGAGAATTTCGTCTGAAGGTTGGGGTGATGACGAAGACTTGCCATGAGTGAACAAAGCTACTGGAGGGTGATTAGACTCAGTGGGCATTTAGGAAGGGGCTTTGCCATCGTTTCCATTGATAAATACGTGGGGAATGTACAATCTTTGAACCATAGCTCCCGGAAGGACACTATTTCTAGGCCAAGGAATCCATTCCTGTCCGCCAACCAGCAGCACAGGTTGTATTACAGAAAATTAAATTAAAAAAAAAAAAAAAAAAAAAAAAAAAAAAGTTACCTAATGTTATCATAATCGCACTGAATTATGGACTATCTGCAGAGATAATATAGACTCCATGCAATGAAAAGTCTATTATCATCATCAGGAGAAAGAAAATGAAAAAAGAAAGAGAGAGAGAGAGAGAGAGAGAGAGAGAGAGAGAGAGAGAGAGAGAGAGAGAGAGAGAGAGAAAAGAGCTAAAAATGTTTTCCCCCGTATTTCGGACTACATGCTGGCAGATCCAAGTGATTAACAACACTAATATCAATATAAACAAAAAATATTTCCTGAAATGAGGGAACTAGGTAAACACCAGGGCCGGATCCAGGATTTTTAGAAAGGGGGGGCATAACCCCTAGCCGAGACAATTGCGAGTGCCGAAGGCATGAAGCCTAAGCGGGACAGAAAGTTTTTATCAATTATCCCTTCTATTGCTGACTGGGACTTTTCCTACCTATATCCCACGTCTTTCCCTGATGATGTGTAAAAAAAATCCAGGTCTAAAAAAAACATTACTATGGCAAAAATAGGGAGGGTGTATCCCCCCCGGATCCGGCCCTGAACACATGAGATATGTCAAACAAGTGATTGACTCATTGTTGACTAAGCACACTTGTGGAGCCATCAATGTATAAATAAAATTAATAAACTAAACCCAAGGTAGGCACGGCACGTTCGTACATGCCATCCCCGGTAACATCAGGTCAATCAATTACTAGTCCAACCTTGCTCACCTGTTTCCCCTTTTCCTTGATTTTTGTAAAGATTCTTTTATATTCTTTACTGCTATTAATATAATTGATAATTTTACAATAATCATATCAACAATCCAGACAAATGGCATTAACCCATTGCCGCCGGGGATGGCATGTACGTCCATGCCATGCCCACTGCGAGTCGACTTGTTTGATTCTTTTTACACATAGATGGCTACACTTGTATTAAGTATCCAATGAGCCAATTACGAATACTACCTGTCTCGCCCGTTCACCCTTTTCATTGATTTACAAAAATATTTAACGTTATCCTAATTTGCTGTTAAAAATAACACCATCTATATTTATAGCACTAGTAAGCCTCTTTATAGCACTAGTAAGAATACGTTTTTTTCCGCCAATTCAAGGACAGGTGAAATCAGGACTAGCAGAGCCATCTATGGATATTTCACAAAAATATAATAAATGAGTACTGCATTTCCCCCATTTTTTGTTCATTTTCCCCGGCGGCAATGGGTTAATAACAAAAAAATAAAATAAAATAAAAACAAATAAATAAATAAATAAATCTTCACAGCACAAGGAAATAGGAAGTGAGGTGAGGCCACGTAGGCCTTGGTGACTGAGAAGCAATCTACGTGCATATAACATTTACAAGAGAAAACGACAGTAGACAGTATGGTTACCCAACATGAATGGGTTAACGGCAAGAATGGATATTGGATACATATGAGAGAATAAGTACATTTCCCTAAATGTGCATTCTGGGGTTGTTAACCTAACTTTAGGCATTAACCCAGTCCATCCACATGAAGAAGCATGTGTGTATCAAGACCCATTGCCTTCCATTTGCAATATTTTCCTCTTTATCTACACTGTTTTCCTGAAGCAGACTTCATATTATCTCTCGAGACACTTTACAATTCTGTGCATTTACAATAATTATAAATAAAATTTGTGTTGCACCTGATGCCACTGGTCACAGCACACAGGAATGGGATCTTGAGAATCGAAACAATAAGCTCCCTGGAACCAGCACACTTTCACAGGCATGGCTAGCAGACAGCAAGTTCCACCTTCTACTACTAGTAAAAATAGTGCAAGAGTCCCTTTCTAAATGCCAACTGAGTCTAATCTTCCCTTAAGATCATTTGTTGTCACTCCAGCCCTCAGTCAAATTTTCACAATGTCACATTCCTCTCAACCTAGCTCTTAGCCAACTTTTTTCAAGACGGCACATTTCTATCAAAAAGCCCTCGGCCAGAATTGTATGTAAGTGGTCATCAATAAGCAAATATTTACTGAGATCTAATAACAACTGTCAATGTGGTATTTACCCCTATGAAATGCCAGCACGTTTACAGTCATTGCTTATGGATGGTACATTCCACACTTGTTTATTAATGGAAATGATGCAAAAGCCTCTTCATAAATGCCATATGAGTCTAATCACCCTCCAAGAGCTTTGTACACTTGTGGCAAGTCATTCCTGTCACTCCAACCTTCAGCTGAAATTCTCACGATGGCAAATTTTCCCATGACAGCATGTTCATGTCACCTGACCCCCTGCCAATTTTTCTCGAGATGTGAGTCATGTTACCCAGTTTCAGTGATAAAGTTCCTACGACAGCATATCTCCTGTCTAAGGTACAAATGAGAATGAATATTTTAATGTGGCAAGATACTAGAAAATATTAAAAGCAGGACCACATGACGACAAACACCGAGACAGTAGCCATACTGAGAAATCATGAGTTCCATAACAGAAAACATACAGAAAATAATCTGCAAAGAGTAAAGGTGATGTCACAATCACATATTAACGAGTGAGAATCTAAATCCAGTGAAGCTGTGGCCTCTAGGCTTTGAGAAAAGAAAAAAAAAAGAGAAAAAAAAAAGAGGAAAAAAAAAAAAAAAAGTCTGTCAACCACCACAGCAATGTATCATCAAATAAGGAACAAGTTCAAACTAATTCAATCTTGCCAAATATATGTGGGAGAGGTTTGCTTGCCTTTGCCCGGGTGGAATGTGTGGCATCCCGAGCCTCTTCATGCCATTCTACCCTGAGCAATTAAACATAACAATGACTTCCAATTTATAATCATTACAGAAACAATTCCCCTTGCTCTGCAATATTTTTCATTCTCACACATACTATTTCAATAGCTGTCAAACTGAAGATAATCTTTTCCTATTAACAAAGCCCCAATCTTTTATCAAAGCCATTTCCTTTAAAACCATATAAGGTAAAAAGTCTAATTAAATGCACAAGAAGGAATCAATCCTAGGAAAAGAAAATAATAATTATTACTTCCTAGAGGAGTTTAGGGTGAATTTGGCGTGATATGCACCAATGATTAGCCCCCAACAGTTTAACATTATTGAGACTGAGATTGAGATTATGTCTCTGACAGCCTGATGATGCAACACCAGTTTAGAAAAAAAAAACTCTACTATGCATATTCTTGCAAGACTGAGCCTGTAAACTACCCTGTCCTTAGATTGTATCCCTTCAATTAAATATAATAATAAATTTCATATAGTTTTGGATACAAGAAAGACAATAAAAATATGATTTTTTTTTTTTCTAGAGCCACTGACTGACACTGTCTCCTTATTATATACTTAAGGCTTAGCCTATATCTATATTTGTAAATACATTCATCTACACTCAGCCTATTTTTGCATGTACAATTAGTCTACGGGCTTTGAATATATTTCAAGCCAGATAGTTTTAATGTGCTTCAATACTTTATCCTCATGAGTATCAGGAAGTCAACAGCACATTTGTTGTAGTACTATAAGTATAACTTTTTCCCATTTGATTTAGTTAAGTCAACAAAATTGTTATTTTACATTACAATCATTGGACAATATGTAGTATAAGGTAGTGGCAGAGTTGGGTAATAAAACCTACATGAAATGATAGAACAATACAAACCAAGACAAAGTTCTTCTGTGGCACTGTGTGTGCAAACGCTTCCCAAGGGTGCTATACGTAAAAGAAAAGAGAAGATCCCCAATTTTTGCTACATCGTTCATCTTGTTTACTTTGTGAGAGTAAATTCTAGACGCATATACTACCACGGGGGTACACTGGCTAGGCATATATATCACCACAGGGGTCCAGGGGGCACAGCCCCCTGTCTAGGGAATATATACCATGGTGGTAGGTTAGGTTGGATGTTGGGTTAGGACGTTTTGTTTAACAACCACGTGGGTCCTATTTTACCCCATAATTTTCCTGATATACTTCATGCCCTCCCTTGCTATCGGGACTATCAAATCAAGATTGTCGATGGAGATGGTGATCATATCTCCTCAAAGATTCATCTGCACAAGAAAAAATGCCTAGAATTGTTGAAAGCTGTGGATTTCATGCAGAAAAATATCAAATTTGTTTTGAAAGTAACCCACTACCCTCTTCTACATATTGACTGGGGATCATCTTTTTTCTTTTACGTATAGCACTCTTGAGAAGCATTTGCACACACATTGCCATAGAAGAACTTTATCTTGGTTTGTATTGTTCTCTCATTTCATGTAGGTTTTATTACCCAACTCTGCCACTACCTTATACTACATATTGACCGATAGAAAGAACTATTTCTGTACCACGATCCAAAGCTCAAAATTTCCCAATCTTACACTTCAATACCACTACTGTCACTGAAAAACTATGATCTTGATATATTTTTGGGGATAGTTAATGTCAAAAAATGTTTAAGTTTACAAAATATCAAAGAATTTGTGATTCTGTACAATGTCAATTGCATAGGCCTACAGATTACAACTCTTTCCACATTGTAATGATTTATAATATCCTGGATTTTAGTTTATGTCTTCACTAATTGAGTAATTAAGAGATGAGAGCATCATTTCCTTCCTCAGAGGCTCAAGCTCAAGGAAATAGAATCATTACTTCCTGATTGAACGACAAGGACGTTGAGCAATTGCAACTTTCACTTACAATTTGCACAAAATTAGAAAGTCGATCACGAATTCCCGTCCATCTATGGTTTCCTAGCCAATCATCCCGTGGAACTGAAAGCAGGATGGATATTCCCTTTCTTTCTCGAGCGACGAAACTAATCCCGTAAAAAAACGGAAGAAAATAGCGAGGCTTTTATGAATGAGCTCGACGTCGGGAACCCCTCAGCGCCTGCCACACGCACAGCAGACGCTCGGCCGCTCTACCCTCTCCAAAACGCCCTCAACCCGATCGCAAAAGCACCAAATAACCCCCCTGGAGTCGCAAATCGAGGCCAAAATCACCTGCAAAACCACCTCGACGTCGTAGGACTGCCCCTTCGACTTCTGGTGCCCCTGGAACCGCGAGCCGTTATAGAGGAGGCTCCTGGTCACTCCTGGCTGCCCTGAGTTCGCTGGCGGCGGGGGATCCATGGAAGCCATCTCCGTCTTGACTGGCATGATGGCTCGCGTTGCCTCAGAGGTCTTTTTCGCGTTGAAATCAGTGTTTAAATCCCCTGCTTCTCCTTCGCCTCGTCTCGGGTTCTCCACATAAACAAGACTCGCCTCCCGATCGCGCGCCGACCCGGAACTCTTCTGAAAAATTACTACTACTTCGGTCACATTATCGGAGACATATTCTCGACCTCTTGTTAGAAAATTTACTTGTTTGGTTTCCTGTCTTATGATAATGTGGAGAGTAAAATAAGTTTCGGGAACGGCGG